AAAATATAATAACATCACAACAATAAAAATAAAACCAGTTCCAACCATACACAGCTAAATCAGCTTAGAAGTGTGCAACTTAATTAAATATTTGAACCTAGCCTGTTTACGATCCGTTGACTTATTACAGATTAATTAAGTCTTTTTTAATTTAGATTGAACAAAAATAAAAACTTTTGCTAAAATTTAAATGCAGTTGTAGCTTTGGCACCGATCTACAAACACAGATACAAACTGTAAGTACATTTGTCGTAAACAACAGGAAACTCTAGCAGCTTACCTCCCCCTGGCCCAGTCAACTTATATACAAACAGGTCACTCTGTATGGTGTAACAGTTGCCGAAACTTTCAGAGTAGAACTGTGTAACATTTCTGGAAAAAATTACAAGTCAATTTTCATTGTTGTAAAGGATTTTTTTTATTGTACATCATTTGTTTCATATAAGCTTAATTACACGAGGTGTCTGTTGGATAAAATCTTAATGCAGAATAACTCATTACAGTCCCTGTAATATATATGACAACACCATCATCCACACACAACTACCCACAATTAGCTACATTACCCTCCCCGCACAACTACCATCCAATAGTTATATCAACATCCATAAAGCACAACTAATCAACAGCTACATCAACATCCCCACACAACTAACAAAACAAGAGCTACATCTACATGAACACACAACCACCATATGACAACCAATAGGTACATCAACATTCTCATACAACTACCCACAAACAGCTACGTCCTTCTTCCCCACACAACTACCAAACAGTAGCTACATCAACATCCACACACAATTACCAACTAACAGCTCAATCAACATCCACACACAACTACCAACAAATAGCTACATCAACATCCACACACAACTACTAACCGACAGCTACATTCCCCTACCACACACCACTACCCACCAACCGACAACCTACTTGCGCTCACAGGTTCTCACATTAAAAGAACACTCCAACAAAAACGTGTCGATCTGATGCCCCAGCTGTGTCCGTGTTGATCTGTGGTCAAGCAGGACATAAGTGGTTTAAAACTGACAATTTGATTGGTCGAATTGGACGTTAAATATAACAAATATGTATAGATTTCTGTTTTATTTATTTTATTTTTTTTGAGACAACTCATTAGGGCGGAGCTGTCTCAATCAGTTTGCCACTGATTCCCCGATTCCCCCCCCCCCCTCAATGCACGTTAATACCACCAACCCCCCCCCCCCCCACCACCCCCCCCCCCATCCCCACCCCCACCCTCCCCCCCCCCCACCCCCCCCCCATCCCTCCCTTACGTGACGAAAAAGGAAAATTAATATTACATTGTGTACATCTATCTATATACTACGAAAACTGAAGTTTGTTTACATATTTGAATATTATTACTTTTTTGTTTGTTTTTTTGTTTGTCTGATTGAATACTGGAGAGAAACGGCGCTATGTGGAGAGCTGTAAAATAGTATGTAGGTAGAAAACAATTTTCTTTTCAGACAGACTGTTATTCACAAATTTATTTAAAGACGTTAATTAATTTATTGATTTATTCATAGATAGATTAACCACATTAATTTTAAAAGATTAGAAAAACTTGACGGAACAGTAACGTCACATTTTTTTGTTTACTTTTTAGTACAATAAAATGGCGGCGACTATCGAAGAAGATTATGTTCCCATTCCAATGTTTAACGCGTTCTCAAGCTAATTTTCTGTCGGCTATAACTTTAACAATACGTCCGTTTGCTGTATTTATTACGTTTCAACATTTATATCAATTTTCAACTGTCTTTGTCATTTAGGTTTACGATAAATTTCTCTAGATCTACAGATCAGCTATCGAAGGGAGAACATGTTATGAAATCTAGACTTTATTGGAGGCGTGGTCGGTTGCTAACAACAATGGCGTCCGGACCGGATGCTTGACTTCCGACTATTTTTAAGCCATGTTTACCACGAGTAACATGGCGGGTTTTCGACGTTATATAAACATGCTATAGGTGTCCAGGGCCAGATATGCCAGAAAAGCATTTTAAAATTTGCTTTGGAGAATAAAGGCTAAATTTTGAAGTCGGTGTCATTAAAATTAAATAGAACTTTTTAAAGGTCACCTGTGACGTCAGTATATCAAGGGATAGTGTGTTTTTAAAGGATAAAAAAAGTCTTTTTGAATGTGGGGTCTGGTTATTTTGTGATGATTGGTGACAGACGTGATGTCATTTATGGATGACCCCCGAAACCCACAGTTAGCTAACTAGATAACGGGTAGTCTAGTAATTATTTTAAAAGCTGTTTATCTCCCCTAGAAGTTTCAATTCTCCATAACCCCTTTCTGTAGTGACATACCTGGATAATAAAAGATTACAAGACTTTCTCTATACTTCGTATATATATATATATATATATATATATATATATATATATATATATATATATATATATATATACGAGAAAGTAAAAACATGATTTTGAATTCTTACCTTTGAACTGGCTAACTTGTTATATATTGTGAAATAGTAACAGCCGACTGTAAAACTTAGTTTAACTGATAAAACTAGCCTATTCAGGTTACTTTAAATCATTATTTGGCTGATATTTCTAACCAGTTTATTTTCTCTAAAAGACGGTTACGTTGATATCAATAAACTGTTTAGTTTCTCTAATCTACGGTTTGAATGTTATCACTAACCTGTTTAAATAGCTGAGCTCAGTAATGAAACTTTCAACATTCGCTGATGTTTCTGTAGGATTTGCAATGGCTTCCCATGTGCCATTAAACTCCGCCTTCGATTGAAAACAAGTAATATTTACAAATTTTCATAATTATAACTCAACAAGTAATAAAATACTTTAAAAAACTTAAAAAAACCACGTTTTTCTTGTGGACTAAAAAGTAGAAAATAACTATTTACATACATTTGATGACAAAAAACGTGGGTACGTTCACCATCAAATTTCCCGACCCATCTGCCCGACCCACGTTTTTTTTATCAAATGTATGTAAATAGTTATTTTCTACTTTTTAGTCCACAAGAAAAACGTGGTTTTTTAAAAAGTTTTTTTTAAGTATTTTATTTTCTCCTTTTTAGTCCGTTGCTACACATGAAAAACGTGGTTTTTTTAAAAAAAGTTTTTTATATAGTTTATTTTCTACTTTATCCAATGACTTGATTAAGTATGACTTGACTAAGTGTTTATAAATACACGGACTAAAAATCTTGAGCGACCAGGATTCGAACCTGGGTTATCGCGGCCACAACGCGAAGTACTAACCACTATACGATCACGGCCAGCGCGCTCACATCGATTGGGGCCGAAGTAACTGTGTCAATAGGCCTTCAGTCTTGTCGGTATCTTTAGAAATCATGTCCTCAATTTTATGGTCCTTAGGGCGTAATTAAATTAAGCTAATTACGGTCTCTAATTGCTAGTTTTTATGATTGCATCTGAAATTGTTAGGCGAAAGTAGCCTGCATGCCAAATTTCAGATCTGTAGAGCAATCAGAAGTGGGCTAATTTTCGATGTCAATTTTAACAACAAACAAATCCATCCACAAACGCGAAGCTGAGTTAAGAAATACGTGTTAAAAAAAATAACAATCACTGTTTGTTTTACTTTATATTGACTACTCTTACGCAATAATTAGAAATGTCAAAATATAAACTAAATAACATTAATCTAGTCCTATTTTTTTAAAATAAATAAATTAATGATAGAATAGTTTAATTTACAACGGAAAATTTGAAGATGTTAATTCAAAAAAACTTATACCACTAAAACATAGTACTTGATTTTACACAAATGTATGGATACATCCAGAGTTTCTTCCAGGCATCTCTTCGGGGGTGGGAGGGGGGTGGGGGTGGTTGCTCTGCACACCCCCCCCCCTCCCTCGAAAAATGTCTACCGCCCCCTCCACCCCCGAACGATATATATATATATAATATAGAAAACGTATACTTTTACTAGTGTCCAGCCCCCCTCCGAAAAATGTGGACCGCCCACCCCCACCCCCGAAAATATCGAGTGCCCCCCCCCTCCCCCCCCCCCCCCCGGAGAAAAAAGTCTGGAAGAAACACTGGAGACATATTGTTATTTTACCTATGCCAAAAACAGTAGTACCGCTGTAATCTAGTACTTGACGTTAGAAAATTATTTTTTTTAATCTACCTGTGCTTAAATTTTGAAGAGTAAACAAATTGAACAAAGAAACATTGGTACTCATATGATCTATTATTTAAATTTGGAACATTTTTTTTAATAAGAACTAACTATGCTTAAATTTTGAACAAGAAAACATAGCCCCATTAAGAATGAAGAAGAAGAAGAAGTCCCGCTAAAATCTAGTGCTAACTCTTCGAGCAAAAACAAAACATTGCTACTGATATAATCTAATATTAAACATATAACAAAAAACAGTTGTACCGAAAAAACTGGCTGGTGTGCAAATTAAATAAACTAAAATGTTTGCATATTAGTCAAATATTATGAGCATTGATTATCGATATTTCTGTTACACCTGATTTTGTAAACGTGTTACTTGTTGCTATATAGTGAAGTTTAAGAGCTACATTTTAAAAGGTTTACCGTATCATACTCGTCATATTCAGAGCCTGTATAAGCCGTATTAGTTCCCAATCTGTACCCAAAATAAAAAAAATTATATATATATATATATTTATATATATATATATATATATATATATATATATATATATATATATATATATATATATATATATATATATATATATATATATATATATATGTATATTTTTGTGAGCGTGTGCGAGCGAGAATATGTGTGGTGTGTGTGGTGTTTGTGAGTGTGTGTACTTGTGTATGTGAGTGTATGTGTGTATTTGTAAGTCTGTGTGTCAGTTGTCTGTGTGCGTGTCCCTGTGTCTGTGTGTTTTAAAGGTATGCTTTGCAGGTGGTATAAAATTTAAGACTTGAATCTTAATATTTCGTTTCGTTGCTTTTCTGTACGGTATAGACCTCACCCATCAGTCGAGCCTCCGTTACCGCCTCCATCTTTACTCGCCAGCTTGGCATTTTCTTTCGCCAGCAATTGGTCAAACGACGCGTTGCCAATTATATCTCGAATCTTCTGGTTGGCGAACTTTTGCTGGCGAACATGAGATTAATATCAATATGTAGAGTATACAAACACCTTTATTTGACTTTTTCAATTAACACCAATTGTAATAAACGGATATTATAATGAGGATCGTCGTGGTGCGTTATTCTAAACATATCTATTAGAGCCTCATGATGTGATTATAAACCTACCTGTGAGAGCCTCATGATGTTATTATAAACCTACCTGTGAGAGCCTCATGATGTCATAATAAACCTAACTGTGAGAGCCTCATGATGTTATTATAAACCTACCTGTGAGAGCCTCATGATGTTATTATAAACCTACCTGTGAGAGCCTCATGATGTCATTATAAACCTACCTGTGAGAGCCTCATGATGTCATTATAAACTACCTGTGAGAGCCTCATTATGTCATTATAAACCTAACTGTGAGAGCCTCATGATGTTATTATAAACCTACCTGTGAGAGCCTCATGATGTCATTATAAACCTACCTGTGAGAGCCTCATGATGTCATTATAAACCTACCTGTGAGAGCCTCATGATGTCATTATAAACCTACCTGTGAAAGCCTCATGATGTCATTATAAACCTACCTGTGAGAGCCTCATGATGTCATTATAAACCTACCTGTGAGAGCCTTATGATGTTGTTATAAACCTACCTGTGAGAGCCTTATGATGTTGTTATAAACCTACCTGTGAGAGCCTCATGATGTCATTATAAACCTACCTGTGAGAGCCTTATGATGTCATTATAAACCTACCTGTGAGAGCCTCATGATGTCATTATAAACCTACCTGTGAGAGCCTCATGATGTCATTATAAACCTACCTGTGAGAGCCTCATGATGTCATTATAAACCTACCTGTGAGAGCCTTATGATGTTGTTATAAACCTACCTGTGAGAGCCTTATGATGTTGTTATAAACCTACCTGTGAGAGCCTCATGATGTCATTATAAACCTACCTGTGAGAGCCTTATGATGTCATTATAAACCTACCTGTGAGAGCCTCATGATGTAATTATAAACCTACCTGTGAGAGCCTCATGATGTTATTATAAACCTACCTGTGCAAGCCTCATGATGTTATTATAAACCTACCTGCGAGAGTCTCATGGTGTCATTATAAACCTACCTGTGAGAGCCTCATGGTGTCATTATAAACCTACCTGTGAGAGCCTCATGGTGTCATTATAAACCTACCTGTGAGAGCCTCATGATGTCATTATAAACCTACCTCAGAATTTTAGTATAAACCTACCTGTGAGAGCCTCATGATGACATTATAAACCTACCTGTGAGAGTCTCATGATATCATTATAAACCTACCTGTGAGAGTCTCATGATGTTGACATTACAGATTGTGACTGCAGGAAACGGCAGCTCACTGAAGCCAAGCTCCACCTTTGTATTGGTCTTATATAAGTAATACTTGTCGATAAGCCTGGTAAAAAACATTATCTATATAATAGACATACACTCAAATAAATGGATACAATTAAACAAGTAAACAACGGACTTATATCGGTAAATTATCAAAGCTACATATAAATCTCTATAACCTTTTTAATTGTTTAGAACAGACTTACATATAAAGGTGAAAGGTCATGACGCCAAAGGTCGCAGCTAGCAACAGACCCCAAACAAGTTTAACCGTCAAACTGCTGGCAGCATTGATCATGTTGACGCCATTCATGGAGGCGGTCTCGGCATACTTTGAGAACACTCCCCTGATACCATGGCTGAATGACGTCATCTCCTCATCGAAGTGGTCATCAGATTCTGCTTCGTATTTGCCTCCATTGGGTGAGAAATCTGGCGAAACCTTGTTTGAATAGATATATATTTATGTTAGAGTAGGTATTGAACAATTTAGATTCAGTCTTTTAAATTAACGAATATAATTATTTACACGTTAATAATTATGTATCGGCCTTTTAATCAAATCAGTAAAACTTAATTACCTTGATGGTCTTTATCATTTTCAACCACTATATTAGGTCTGGCTTTGATTTGTGTAGTTATTTCAACAGGAATACTATTATTTGAGCAGAATGTTGGCCTTCGTTTCTGGAAGGAATTTTTTTTCATGCAAAGCAATCATTTTGTAGCTATGCATCGTACTGTGGTACATATCGTTAAAAATAGAATTTCTTTCCGGTATCTTCCCCACCCCTCACCCCTCTGCGCGGATTACGTCCACCCCAGAAAAACAATTTGAAAAAAAGAAAATGTACTAATAATCCATTCCCTCCTATTGAAAACTGTTTTTTAAATACATTTCTTAACAAACTGGGCTCTCTTCCGTGTAATTCAACCAAATGTACAAAAGATGTTCATCTCAGAGAAAATCTTAGTAAACACTTAACAACGGAAAAACATTTTTTATAAGCTTAGAAGAAAAAAAGAACTTGCAACAAAACAAAATGAATACTCTTAGCTTACATACACAGCACATATGCCTGCCTGTCACTAGTATGTGATACGATTTGTTGTCACCCACATAAACATATATTCTGCATTCAGTTTTAGTTTAAAAAGAATAGAAGATTAAATTGGACCTTTACTTTCTATGGTGACTAAAATATATAATTGATTTTAATTAAATCTCAATAATTATAAGGTTGATGTTTAATAATAATAAAAAACATTTTTAACATTAAAACAAAAACAACCATTTACCTTGTTACGATGATAAAACAACTAACCTTTGCCTAATTAAGTGTTAAATGTTATAATTTAACCCACAATAAATGTTAACATTTGAAAGTGAACCTAAAATAAATGCTAAAATGATAAAAACTAACTCACATCAAATATTAAAAGTTTATTTACAATAAAAAAAAGTATTTAAATTAATCCAACACCGAATCTTTAAAAGTTGAAAGTTTTACCTAAAGTAAGTCTTAAAATGACATTTAAGCTGTTAAAATGTTAGTTGAAAGTTTCCTTGTAAAAGTAAAGTTGGCATATCCTAAAACCGCAACTCCACAATTATTTCAGCCAGCCGTATCAACCAACGCTCGACAAAGGCAGCTCCCAAGCAACCAATCCGTGGCTGCCTAACAACGTCAATAACCTCAATGCCTTCTATACTTCGCTGTTTCGAATGTATATTTAATAAACCGGGAGTGATCTCCCCTAAACTTTCTCGAATATTCTTATATAACATTAAAAGGAATGGTAACTCAGGATATAGACATGTTTTTTAATCCATTTTTAATTACTTGAACTTTTTAAAAAGAATAGATTCTCTTAGAAAAAAAGAATTGCGCACCAAATGACCGGCAGACAACATGTGTATAATAGTGCGGAATATTATTAGTACTTTATAAATTCAAATGAGTTTTTTGAGAAATTGGAAACAGCGTAAATAACTACTTCCGGTCAACAGAAATTACTCATAATTTGATAAAAGACAGAAGAATTGATCTTTTACTTATATGTGAAATTTCGTTCATCTATCTGAAACAGTACTCAAGTTATAGGCTTTTAAAAAACTTTTAGTAGAATAAGTTCCATTTCCGGTCATCGGAAATTACTAAAAAGTTCATCAACCTAGCTTTAACGGTACTCAAGTTGTCGTGTTCACACACACACACATACACATACACACACACATACACACACACACATAGACATACGGGTAACATTTCAAAACTATGTTTTTCCGACTCAGGGAGGTGTAAAACGCCGAGATTTGTGAAAATATCGATGTCGATTTTTTGTACGATTACAATATTTCCTCTTTACTTAGTGTACGAGAAAGTAAAAAGTTTAAGGCGGATACATAACAACATTTACTCCATCACAGATACAATGTGTACTTATTTTTTTTCCCAGAACAAAATATAGATTTTACTTTCTGGACGTGTAAAACACATTTCATGTTCCGCTGCGTAGTTTCTGTGCAATAGCTTGTTGCGGACACTAGTCCAGATCAGACCTAGTCAACGCATGATCGCACACAGACATACAACACTAAAATATTGAAACCACATGAAGGGAAAAGCAGAAAAGAGCACAAGATTATATCATAACAAGACCACTTAACATCGTTTAACAAAAGATGCACGACAAAATCTTTCAAAACTCCATAACTAATTCACATCAAACTTGCGTATCTTACATAAGCGCTTCTAAAGCTTATCAAGATCTTCCTGTTCTGCAAATTGTGTATTTGTTTGGCACTTTGTGACACATGATGTGGTTTTTCTTTACTAATGTTGAAGTTTAGAAAACAAACAATAATGGACAAAACATGTTTGTCTTTTCGTTCCTTTCAATAATAACGAGACTCAGACAAAAAAAGATATAATAAGGGAAGGGTATCACTAAATGTTGTCTTTCTTTTTTTTGTACAAAAGGTTTTATTTTAATGCTTTGTTTTTTTTTAAATAAAATGTTTGCACTTTTATGTTACGTACTATTCAACATCATCTAGAAATATTTGTTTGGTTTTAATAAGATAAATTTGGCACTTTTTCAGATATGGAGATAAAACCACCAAGACTAAAGGTAGGTCATCATAACCATCTTGATCTTTTCATGAAAATAGATGGCAAACTTTTATTATGTTGTACGTTTGTGTTTAAGGTATTTGTCTTTGAGTTCCTTTGACTTAAATATTTTATTATGAGATATTATGTCATTGAGGTCATGTGTCTTTGAGTTTATTTGTCCTGGTATATTTTGTTCTTGAGTTGATTTGTCCTTAATATGTTTCGTCCTTGCGTTATTTTGACTTTAATATATTTATCCTTGGGTTCATATGTCATTAATATTTTTGTCCTTGTGTTTATTTTTCATTAATATGGTTGTTCTTGAGTTTATTTGTCTTTAATATATTTGTCCTTGGGTTCATTTGTTGTTAATATTTCTGTCCTTTGTCATTATTATTTTATCTTTGGGTTCATGTGTCTTTGAATCTGAAATCATTTATCTTGGGATCACCTGTCACCCTTACAATTCAAAACAATTTCTACGTTACCCTTATGTAAACTTTTAGTTATCTCTTCTTCTTCTTCTTCGTTCTTAAGTGTTGAAGGGAATCGAGATTTATCTGTCAGTGGGTTTGAACTCGAGACATTTTTTTCGAATTTATCAACCGTGATCTTTTTGCCGACTCTACCACGCCTCCAACACAATTAAGCGTTACGTGTCAACTGGTTCTTATGCGCCATTGAGGCCATTGACTCCGATTTCAGCCTGCTTTTCTTTTTGAATTTGCTTCCATAGCCTTTGTCCAACCAAGAACAAGCTACAAGGCAGCAGTTGTTTGATTTTGGAGTTGTCTCTCCTAGAAGAGTGGCTGACCCCAGCTAACGAGCCTCATCTGCCCGAGGGTTCGAACTCGAGACTTTTCGGTTTAGCAACCATGAGGTTTACCGACTCGACCACGCCAAAGTGCTGGCATCCATTGTCACTTGCACTTCCCAAAACTGACTCAGTGAGTTGATCCCATCTGGCTGGTTTATTGATCCGTTGATCGAACTAAGTTCGGCTTAGACATGGCCTAAGAAAACATTTTGAATTATGAATGGAAAAAACATTTAACATGTACAGGTAAAAAATGTGTTTACTTGCCGAAAGAAAAAAAAAGACATTATGTGTGTCAAAGCAATGTGATAAAATGTAACAGTGCTAATTCATATAACAAAGGACAAAATGTAACAGAACTAAGTCATACAACAAAGGACAAAATGTTACAGAGCTAAGTCATATAACAAAGGACAAAATGTAACAGAGCTAAGTCATATAACAAATTGACAAAATGTAACAGTGCTAAGTCATATAACAAAGTGGCAAAATGTAACAAAACTAAGTCATATAACAAAGTGGCATAATGTAACAGAACTAAGTCATATAACAAAGTGGCAAAATGTAACAAAACTAAGTCATATAACAATTCGACAAAATCTAACAGAGCTAAGTCATATAACAAAGTGGCATAATGTAACAGAGCTAAGTCATGTATCAAATGACATAATGTACATCAAGTAACAGAACTAATTCATATAACAATGTGACAAAATGTAACAGAACTTAGTTATATAACAAAGTGATATAATGTAACAGAAATCAGTCATATAACAAAGTAACAACATGTAAAATAGCTAAGTGATATAACAAAGTGACATAATTTAACAGATATCATATTTTAATATATTAATTTTATGTTGCATGTGTATTTAGTTCCTAAGATGAACGTTCCTAATTATTCATATTACTACATATTATTAGAATATACACGTTTTTTTCTGTGCTAGGTTTATTTCGATATTTTTATTCATATTATATATACAATAACATATTTAACATGAAATATTTTTAAGCATACTATTTACGATAACACAAAATTGCATTTTTTTATTATCAGTGGTAGTTAGGATGGGGATAATGCTCTACATTTTACAGATTACTGATTTTAAATTGTTTTATATCGAATACAAAAAAAAATATTTTTAAATTTTCAATTAGTCTAATGCCTATCTGAACTGGGTTACAATGATCACTTTGATCAACACATCGCCTAAATTGATCTGGGATAACCTAAGCAGAGACCAGATAATCTGGTGTAATCTCGACTTTAACACGCCAAGCGATATTCTCTTCACGTTGCTTACCTGACTGGGGATAATCTCTACTCATTAATCTCTTAATCTGGAATAACCTCACACAGCGTCATCCTACAAGGAAATAATCTCTACTCGTTATTATCTTAATTTGTAATAATCTCACGCAGGATCCTCCTGACTAGAATTAATCTCGTTACTCTCCTGATTTGGAATAATCTCTTTTCGCGACCCTCTAAATGTAGGATAATTTCCACTTAGGATCTTCCACCTAATAACTGTATTATGGCTGTGTACTATGGTTGTGTATTATGGATTTGTGTTGTCGCTGTGTAGCCTAAAATGGTTGTGCATTATGTCTGTGTATTAGGGATGAGTGATATACATGTGTATTATGGTTGTCAATTATGGCTGTGTACTATGGGACGGAGTGGTCTAGCGGTAAGTCTCGAGTTCGAATCCGGGTTCAAGTCAGTAGACCGTCCCTGAGTCCAC